CCTCATCCAGGGAGGCCCAGGGCCAAAGCACACAAGCCTACAGGGGGGACTGAGGAAAGTGATGTGCCACCACTACGTGGACTAAGCACCCAGCCCCAAGGAACAGGCGGGGTACTCTGAGCACCTCTTTCCCAGTCTCCTTATGACAAGCGGCCATAGGGGTCTGAGGAAATAGGGCTCCATCAACATGAAACAGCACCCCGCTCAGCCCCCGCTGCCCCGCTCACCCTTGCAGTCTGGGTTGGCAGCCGGAACTACAGGGCAGCAGAGAGCAGGGAGGTAGCTGGAGCCCCAGTGTAGGCTGGCAACGCCACTGCTCCCCAGAGGTGCACACAAACCCGTTGGCAAGGAACCGGCAGGCAGCTCTCCCTGGAGTAAGGGACTCCAGGTGCAGGCCCAGCAGGCTCCCCAGAGCCGGACAGGCTCCCTCTGAGGACCTCCATCCATCCCTCCTACCCAGCAACAGACCCCTCCCCAGCCTCCCTCACCCTGGATCCGTGAGATCCCATTCTGAAGGTTCTCACCTTAGAGCATCCCCTCCCTCCACTCCACCTGGCAGATCAGACACGTGCCCGAGTGTGCTTAGCTCTGCAGGTGAAGACAGACAAACACCTGCATCCCAGAACCCACCGTGCCAGGCTGGCAGTGCCATGCCCCTGCCTCGCAGTGGGGGCTTCAACTTTGCTGATTTGTCTTCTAAGATAAAAAAACTAGGGAAAGAAATCAGAAATCCAGATGGCTCTGCCCTCTCAAGCTACAGAGATAGGACTTTAGGGCCCGCAGGAACCTTCGAACAACCGGTTAAACCTGCCATTTAACGGAGGAATCGCCTGTTCTCTCCAACAGCCCCCTCTTCTTAAGCCCTGGAACTGGCGATTCACTCTGCCACGGGCACCTCTGCAGCTGTGGACAGCGCTTCCGTAGGCTGAGGCGCAGTGTCTTTATTCCCACACCTTGGCCACAGAGATGACCGTGGACCTGCGCAGGCTCACCTCAGGGCAGCTCCCCAAAAGGCTGAAGCCAGCCTCGGAAGTGTAGCCACCCCCAGCCAACATGGCCTTTGGCCACCTCTCCTGAGGCTCGATCTCCTGGCGTCTGCTGAGATGTGCCCAATGTCCGGGAGACGGGACGTACCCTCTCCCACCCTCTGGGCACCATGAGGGGACACAGTGAGGCACCATGAGGGGACACATAACGTATCTTCCAAACGGGAACGTTTTAACTATGGCAGAGAGATGCTGTTAACTACGCCAGGAAAACAGGCACAATCGGGGCGGAGGGCCGCACTAACTCCTAAGTCACCGGGCACACAGCACAGTCACTCATTTACTCCGCTAGAATGCCAGCTCTCCCCCTGCACTCCTGGGGACTTTGTCCACCACCCCTGCTGAGGGGCTGGCCGGGGCGGAGATCGGGAAAGGCCACAGTGCAGGTGCATCTGTGTAGTTCCACACTTTCCCCCGATTAAAACAACCTTTGTAGCTGCCGGTTGTGATGGAGGAGGGGCAGGGGACAGAGTGTCTGCCCTTGGGAAGCAGACGCTCTGAAAGGATCAGACAGGGAGGAACAGACACAAAAACAAACTGCTCTGGACCTGCCAGGATAGCGCCATGGCCGCGGGGGCCCTAAACACACACTAAGTAGCCTTCACTGCAGCTCGAAATGAGCGGCCCACGGCAGGGCTGGTGAGTGGGACGTGTCCAGTGGCCTGATGGGGCTTGGTGTCCGTTACCATTCTCCCCTCACCGGGACATACACACTGTTCGGGGCCTCGTGAAACAGCCACAAGACCGGGCGGGGTGAGGAGCAGGTCAGGAAGAGCAGGAGGACTATCTTCTCAGCCCTCATGCCATTATTCCCCCTCTTCCAGCCACTGCCTTCTCCAGTGGCAGCAGCTTTTTTCTGGATACTGTAAGTCTCACACATACTGCTCTGGGTCTCTCCACCGGGCATCAGTGCCACCAGCGAGCACTAGAGGGCGCCGCCGCCCTTCCTCGTGAGGAACACCCAACAGAGCCCAAGGGCAGTCCCAGGGCAGAGGGCCCCCAAACCTCTGAGCTGTGTCCCCAGTGGGGGATCCCACAGCTATATTCAGGCAATCCAGTTCTCAGTGTCTAACCTTTCGTTTCCTGCAGTGAGTGAGCTCGCCTCTCCTATTCTCCTCAAAGCCCTAGGCAAGCCTTCCACAGACAATTATTTTTCCAGGCCAGCCACCCCATCTCCTCAAGGCACTCTGGCCCAGGGGGACACGGATGGAGCTCAATGTCAAAGGCCAGGTCCTCCCTCCCCCTGCCCCCTCCCCCGCCTCTCCCAGCCACGCCCCCTTACCCAAAGAAAAGCCCCTCCCGCCCTGCAAATGGGCCCTCGGGAGGGCAGGTGTGCCCTGGGTGCCCTCCAACCAGCTGCGGAACAAGCTCAGAATTCAGACAGAAAACCAACATCCCACAGCGTCCTCTGTCCATGTGGCCTCTCACAGCCGTGAGGAGACACAGAGAAACAAGGAAAACAGAGACTGTAAGCAGGAACAGTGACATCCCCAACATCCCTCACCGACATGGCCTGCAGGGGTCTAAGCCCAAGCCTGGGCAAGCACCCAGAAGAGAGCTCACAGAGAGGTGTCCCTCAGCATCTGTTTCTGCCCAGAGAAGGCCCGGAGACACCCACAGAAGAGAGCACCACGCCCATGGTCCATGCCCCTTCCAACTCTGGCCCCCACCTGCTCCCAGCAAATGGCCTGTGTGGGTCTCCACCTCCCTCTCCTCCTCCTCCTCCTCCTCCTCCTCCTCCAAAGACATGAGTTGCCACGGGACCATCAGGCACAGCCTGGGCAAGTGAGAAAGACCCCCCTACAGGCAGCCAGTGTTCCCCGGGCTCTGGTGGGTAGGGGCTGGGCAGTGGGACTGAGGGTGACGTACTGGGCAGGGAAAGCAAAGGACAGCCTCACCCAGAGGCTGATCCACCCACATACCTGTCTGGAGGCTACCAGCTGGCCAGGGCCCACTCAGAGGAAGGCCCTGCATTTCTGTCCCCATTCCTCTCAGCAGAATTTCACAGGGAAAGAGAAGAACCGGGACTTCAGGAAGAGGTTTAGAGACCTTCCCTCTACTCTATCACTTGACCCTTCACCATTGTGCCCACTTCCTGCCCCTACATCCATAAAGAGGAGGAGCAGGCTTGCTGAGCGCGCAGGAATGGTTGCCTTTGCCACGCTCATTAGGGCTGCCATGCATGCTCTTGTCTAGGATTGGCCTCAGGCCTTTGAGAATGGCGATGCATGGCATACCGCCTAGGCCTGGAGCCCCAACCTGGGCCCCGTTAGACAAGTCGGCAGCCGTCAGAGGCTCAGAGATGGAGAAAGGCAAAGGGACCAGAGTGGTGGTCAGGGGCTGCGATGTTGTGATTTACAAGAAATACGTATTTCTCATATGTGTTCTTCTTCCAGTTCCTGGATCATGGTTTCCAAACCTCTTGAAACTTCCTGAGTGATAACAATGAAGCATCTTTTATTATAATGTTTGGTCTTTTGTTCTCAGTTCCTGAAAACACTTGAGCCACGAAGGTGAAGTGGTGCTTATTATTCCTAACAAACCCCCCTCACCACATCTGGGCTTATGTTAACGAGGTAACTTCTGGAAAGCACCTAATGGGAGGGGCCTGGTTGCCAATGGGAACCACCACAAACACAGGGTTGGAGCTTCCAGTCCACCCCCTAATTTTGGGGGAGGGGAATGGAGGGGGCCAATGGCCAAGGATGTAATCTCTCTCGCACCCATGTAACAAAGCCTCCACAAACCCCAAAAGGCCTGGGGAGCTTCTGGGTGGGGGGCACGCGAAGTTCTGGGAGAGTGGCTACGCTCGGACAGGCATGGAAGTGCGGTGCCCTTTCACCACACCACCATGCCCTGTGCATCTCTTCCGTCGGCTGTTGCTGACAAAAACCCATGACCCACTAAGAAAACTGTTTCTCGGAGTTCTGTGAGCTGCTCTAGCAAATTCATTGAGCCCAAGGAGGGAGCTGTTGGAGCCTCCTGGCATAGTTGAAGGCTCTGAACACTGACGTGGGACTGGTGTCTGACGCGGTGGGAGAGGGGCGGGGGTCCTGTAGGACTGAGCCCTTTACCTGTGGAATTGGTGCCACCTCTGAGCAGACAGTATCGGAGTTGAGTTGAATTGTGGGATACCCAGCTGCTGTCAGAGAATCCCTTGGATGTGTGGGGAACCTACCACCTCCCATTGGAACTGGATGAATAATCCTAATTGGTGTCAGAACCCTCTTAGGAGCTCTGTCCAGGGCCTGAGCAGAGGACTCTTGCATCCCTCTTTTGGTGGGACTAGGCGCCTTTAAAACCACGTGGCCATCCTCGGCACTTGCCATGCCTCAGGACCAAGAGATCCCAGAGGCCAGGGCCACGGTCTCCCAGGACAGGGGAAGACTCAGATTCCAGGGGAGCTGCCTACAGCCTCTTGCCAGGGCAGGGGAGCAATTGGAGCAGGGGGGGGGGGCATCAATTACTTGAGTCCCCTCTTAGGGGGAAGAGATCAAGAACAGCTGGGTGACTGAGGGAGGTTGGCTAGCTTCAGGGAGGGGCGGGGAGAGTCTGAGGTGCAGCCCCAGTCCCCACCTCTCTCCTTGCCAAGACTTCCTTACCTGGAGGCCCAAGGGCAAGAGGTGAAGGTTAAGAAACAAAACTTCATACAAATGGCTTTCCAGTTTTTCTCCTGTTCCTCTCCACCCCTGGCGGGCGGGGGTGTGTGTGTGTGTGTGTGTGTGTGCGCCATGAAGCGAGGCCACCATTGAAGAGTTCTCCTCCTCAGACCTCTGGGCCCTCACGATCACTGCCTCCAGTGCAGACAAAGAGCCTTGGCTTAGGGAGAGCCCCACTCAACCATGCAAAGCGAGCCCCCGCAGTCTGCCCAGGCCACACCAGCAGCTCCATCCTCCCAGCCCCCGACAAGGCTGCTGACACACCAGCATCCTCCCCGAGGGGCCAAGGACATACCTGGGTTTCTGAGTTGGCTCCTTGGCTTCCCTTAAGCCAAACCAGCTACTCTTGACCTTCTCCTCCCCAGTGGATGAATGATGGGGGGAGGCCCCAGGGGTGGGACCCCCTTTCTCCCCGAGAGAGCCGCGGCGCCCCAACTCGCTCCGACTCAGCCCCTGATGGTGATGGTGGAAGAGGCCCATCCGGGGCTTCCGCTCCTCCTTCCGGGCACCCTCCTTCTCCGCCACAGCCTCCGAGGAGGCCACCATGGGCGTGGCGACCTGCACTGGCTTCCCCTCCGAGAGCTGGGCCCCCTCCTCCTCTCCAGAGTGGCCGGCCTCAGGGGCCAGCGCCTTGGACTGAGTGCTCAGCTCCTGTCCAGGCACCGCCTCTGAGCTGCTGGTGCGGCGGCTGCCTCTGCCCCAGGAGTCCTCTGCAGCCCGGGACCCCTCCTCGGAGGGCCGAGGAGGAACGCTGTGCAGGGAGCTGGAGGGCGGGAATGGGCCCGAGATGGAGCTGCGGTGCCGCGAGAGGCCCTGGGGCTCCTCGTTGTAAACGTGGCTCCCGTTGACACAGAGAGAGGAGCGGGGGGCGGGGTCCAGGTGGCCCTGGAGGTCGAGAAGGGCCCGGGGAGGAGCTGCTCGCATCTGGCTGGCCTCGTCGCTGTGCGTCCTTTTGTGGGTGAAGAGCTTGGGGGACTGGGCAGCGTCCCTGCCTGGAAAGGAAGCACACGCAGGGTCAGCACAGGGAGGAGCAGCCCGTTTCCTCGCCAGGGGCCTCCCCGCTCCCCTGACGGAGGGCGGAGCGCCACCGCCCGCCACAGCGGGGCCCGCGCTCACCCCCGTCGGTGGACAGCCAGCTGCTGCGGCTCGGGGAGCGGGTGAGGAGCTCGGCCCCGGGGCCCTGGAAGACCAGGCTGCCGCTGGCGGATGACAGGGTGCTGTCGGAGCCCAGCGAGGTGCTGGACTGGGTCAGGGACGACTTGCGCAGCTTGTTGCGGAGGAAGAAGCCTTTGGCCTTGCCCATCCTGCTCAGGCTGCCCAGCTCGGGGTCCTCCAGGGCGCTGCTGGGGAGGATGGCGGACGCGGACTCCACGTCGTACTTCTTCTTGCCCTTCATCTTGTCCTTGAGCTTGCTGAAGGGGGACCGTGGCTTGTCCTTCATGGACAGGTCAAACATGCTGGCGCTCAAGTTGTTTCGAGTGAACTGGATGGTGACCTGGATCTCCCCGCGTTCCTTCTCCTTCTTGCCTGGCTTGGAGTGCAGCTTGTACCACCTGTGGGAAGGGAGACATCAGATAGAGCTCTGGTCAGACACAGGGAGCCTGCCTCCCCTTGCATCCTCCCCACCCTCTGCCGTGTGGGTCACCTCACAGGGCTCCTCCTTGCTTTGGGCTGTGACAGCCTCTCAGCACAGACTCCTGCTCTGACACACAGGCCCTGCCTTCCAGGCCACAGGCATAGCTGAGAAACTATCCCAAACTCCTCGGTGATGAAGAGAGCCACGTCTGAGTAGGGGAAGCCCCGTGGTGCTGCTAGGCAGGCAGGGTCACTGCACCATAGCTCCTCCACCCCAGACCTTTCCTGGGGTGCCCCATCCCCTACAACGGAAACTCTGAGGCCCGGAGGGGCGAGGCTGGGTCTGGGAAGGACTCTCACAGCTCCAGTCCCCTGTTCCGGACAGACCTGCCCACATTCTTCCCTGTTTATATCATCTCCCCTGACCAGTCCCAGCCAAAGCTCCGCTCTGAGCCACCAGTGAGCCCAGGAAAGAACAGCTCACCACAGGCCCCGGGCCAGGAACACGAGCACATGTACACACACACCTCACCGCTCACTGGCGCGCCCCATGTCCCGCCAGGAGCAGCTGTGCAAGATGGGGGAGCAAACAAGACGGTACAAGGGGCCGTCAGCAAGAGGCCAAGGGCTGGGAACGAGGGCTCGTATCTGATGAGTCTACTGTGTGTTACACAGAGTGCAGGCTTCTCCTCTCACTCCCACTGAGTTACCCCTCACATCCAAGCCCACGAGGTCGGAGACACGACCCCAATTTCATAGATCAGGAGGGCGAGGCTCAGGTGGTCCCTCATCCGAGAACAAGCTGCCAGAGGGGAGGGGAGATGCGGAGCCAGGTTTTTATCACCCCAAAGCCCATGTTCCTCCCACTGCATACTCCCAGAGAGACCCCTAACACGCATGCCCAGGCAGGATGGAGCCCACGCTAAGGGGAGGGGTGTGCACAGAGCTCTTCCTTCCTCTGCTTCCCAAATCCTCACCAGCAGCTCAGACTCCTGGGGCAAGGCCCAAGGACGGGCTGAGCCCGCTGACTCTGGCCGGCTGGCCGCACCATCAGCATCGGTGTGGAGCTCCTGGACACCTCCCTGGACCCCTTCCTGCCCCGCTCACCCAGGTCACACTCCTGCCCACAGGTGTGAGCGCAGAGGCTGCAGAGACTGAACCAGAAAGGCTCTGGACAGAGAGTACATGTAGAGAACACAAAGTGGGTGAAACAATGAAAGAAAAAAATACAAGAAAAAGTTTTTCTTAACTGAAGGATATGACCACCTGGACAGAAGGGCCCACAAGCATGCAACACAATGAACTAAGGAAGACCCAGCCGACGGGTATCACTGTGGGGTCTCAGACCCTGAGGCTCCCGAAGAGGGAGGCAGGTGCAAACATCAGGAATTAGAACAGCAACACTGGGCACCATAGGGACTCTTTCAAGGCCAAGCCCTGGTCACTCCCCAAGCCCAGCCGAGGTCCCATTCAGGGCAGGAAGATCCTGGGAGGTGGGGCAAAAGAGAAGTGTAGGGCCTCCAGCCCCAAACCCCCCAAGCCCAACAGCTTGAATCAGCGAGCAAAACCATCCTTTGCTGGGGCATAGAGGCCGGGGCCCTTGGCCCCAGTGGTCCTTCTACCACGGGATTAGCCGAGGTTACCATGGGGAGGCGAGGTTGCAGGGAATATCACTCCCACCATTGTCTAGTTTTGTCCTGTTGGAACTTTTTATAAGGAGCATATATTATTGTCATAATAGGAAAAAGAGACAATAAAACGCCTGTTTTTTCCAGTCTTATCTCCCCAGTTGCTTGAGCCACAGGAGGGCTGCTTGGTCCCTCCCACTCCCTCTAATGAAGGAGGGTGTCCCAGGGTGAGGCTCAGGCACCCTGCCTTCCCTAACCCTCTCCTCCATAAGGTCACCTTGGCTTCTCCTACTCTTCCCCAGGGAATTTGGGGTTCTCTCTGGATTCTCTTTTCAGGGAGGCCAGGAGGGAAAAGCCTTGCCTCACCATTTTCTGAGTCTCCCATCCAGAGCAGAGCGAGGTTGAGAATGGTCAGGACCTGCCCCTAGACCTCCAGCCACTGTCACCAGCTATCTTCTGCCAACTTACCGCACTTTCCTCTGCCTCCCAGGCCGGGCCTCAACAGGCCCCTGCCTGGCACCTGAGGTGCCCAAGGACTCGACCACAGCAGGCATTCTCCCAGGAGTATGGCCCTCACGGCCTGAGGCAGCGGCTCCTGGACAAAGGCCACATCCTTCCCTCCCACCCCTGCTTCCTCCTTCCTCCTTCCTCCTGTCTGTCCACAAGGTCCCCTGCAGACCCGGGCCTGCCAGGCACTGCAGCACACAGTCCAGATGAGGCCAGGAAGCCCTGAACTCTGCTGCTTTGGGCTGACGATCCCTCCGTGAATAATGGAAATGTTCTCTTCACAGAGCCCTGCACATATTAGGCCCCAGAGCAAACAGGCTCTGAGCATCTCATCCCCGAACACTGAGATTTCCTCAGGAAGTGAGAAAACAGGGTCCAGTGGCCCCGTTCAAGTCCCACCTCCTTTAGGAAGCTTTCTCATCTGCCAGCATCCTGGCCACATCTGCTCCGACCACCTGGTGCTGTCATCCCCAGGTGGCCAGGATCTCCCTCACTAAATGGTGTGCCCTGTGGATATTTATCAAGCATGCCCCCAGGCACACAGCTCCAGAGTAAAGAAGCAATGCTGGCAGTAAAGCCTTGAGATGCTATTAGCCCTCAGCTTTTCACTGCCCGCCTCCCCCTCGGTGCCCCCTTGCTCTGCCCACTGCTTGCTCAGAGCTCTCATCTGGACGCATGTGGCAGCACAGCTGATGGCTCAGCCTGGCTCTGCACCCTGAGTGCACAGCTGGCCCCACCACTTACTGGTGTGTAACCTCCACCTACAGGTTACTTCCCGAAGCCTCCGCTTCCCCAGCCATCCAGTGGGGATCCCACCCTGTCGGAGAAGATGACACACGCAAAGCCTGGTCCTCGGGAGTGACGTTCATCAGCGCTTCTCAAACTGCAAAGTATTAAAGGGTCCCTGAGTCTTGTTCAAATGCACGTCTGAGCCTGTGGGTGCAGAGGAGTCGGAGCGGCCATGTGGGCAGAGGGAGACACACCATGGGGCTAGAGAATCAGCAGGGCTAGCCTCACTGTGTGCTCACTGCGTGCCAGGCTCCGTGCCTCTCTCACTGTCCATCCCATTGTCCATCCTCCCTCGTCTGTGGATGAGGAAACCAACTTACAGAGAAGGTTTGTGACTTGCCTGAGGTCACTCAGCTAATAAGTGAGGAGTCCAAACTTGAACATGAAGATGTCTAACTCCAATCCATGACCTTAGCCTTTAAGGTAAAGCATCTCTCATCAAGCTGAATGCAAGCACTTGGGCCTCTAGACAACTTAAGAGGGTAGAGGCTGGAAAAGTGCTGGACCTACATCACAGATTCCCAAAGAGCCACAGAGATGGTATGGAGACCAGAAACCCTTTCAACAGCCTGTTGAGGCGGGTTAGGGTTAGGGTTAGGGTTAGGGTTAGGGAGGCTGACCCTAGAGTGGCTACCAGCATAGGCTTTGGAGCCAGCTGCCTAGTTTAAGCCCCAGCTCCAGGACTTGACTTTGGGCAGAGCACCTAATCTATGCTCAGTGTCCACACCTATTGGGGTAATGGAAGTCCATTCCCCTCACAAAACTCTAAAAGGAGTAAGTGGATTATGTGTGAAAAACTCAAAGAACAGGGCCTGCCACACAAGTGTCAGCTCTTACGTTTCTGCGGAGCAGACACAGACAGGGGCACAGAGAAGTCTGCAGGGTTAAGTCACATACTTACTTTCAGTAAGTAGGAGCGCCAGGATTTGAACTCAGGCTCCCTCTCTCCAAAGCCTCAATCTTGATCACTGCACTAGACTGCCTCCCTCTGCAAGTTACACACACACACACACACACACACACACACACACACTACAGGCCCAGAAACCGTGTCCTGGCCCAACCAAGGAATCTTATTTCTCCAAAGCAAAGGTTATGTTTTAGATGAGAGAAAAATTACACCTTTATTTCCCCTCATCTCCAACTGAAATTTAGCATCTCTTCAATTATGCATTTTTCCCACAGTAGTAATAGAGTAGCAGTACCTGTGAGTGTGTCGCCAGGAGAAACCAGGGTATTTTCATATTCCATTACAGATGTACAAAATACTGTCCATACTCATCTTTACTTTGAACTTCAAAAGTCATTAGTCCTCCCACTGGATCACATTGTTTAACACGGTAAGAAAGCCCATGTTACTTTAGCAAATGCTCTAATTTATGGATAAATTTATGGATAATTTATGGATAATGGATAAAGTATCACCGTGTGCTTGGTAATCCTTTGCATTTGAAGATCTGCTCTGAGAAGAGTCCATGGCACCGAAAGGGCTACGAGCACCTGCTCTGGAGGAGGGAGGGACAGGGCAGCGAAGGCAGGTCTTTGCCTTCCTGCCTCCGTGCACGGCACCCGGGCTGGGCCTCAAGGCAGGGGACAGGCACTGCTCCCAGAGTCCACTCGGAACCACGAGGGCCTGGCGACGGGCAAGAAGCTAGCCAGCGGCTCTGAGACTCCCCAGCGTCACGCTACAGCGCTCAGCCTGACCCGCACCGCCCTGCATGCCAATGAAGGTGACTCCAAAGAAACAAAATCAGCCAAGTGAACCTGCTAACTGGGCTTGTTTTGATCATGGCCCCAGTACCACAATCTCCAACCTCCCCAGGTTGGTCCCCACCTGAGTCCACCTGCTACGGCTGCAACCCACCAGGTCTGCAGCTTCTCCTTTCTGGCTATGGCTGCAGTCTGGCCTCTTGGGAGACTGGCCTTACCTCAGGCTGACGAAAAGCTCCCACCATGCTGAGGATGAGGGCCTGCAAAGCTGACCAATGCAGAACTGAACCCTCCCCTGAGGCAAAGGAAGCCAGCAGGCCCTTAGCAAAGACAACTGTGCTGCC